TCCGTCCCCTCCCCCAGCAGCTGGGATCACCAGGGAGCCCTGGGAAAGGAAAGGGCACAGGAAGGGGCCAGGAGCAGAAAGAATGGGCTGGAGGTGGGGTGGCCTCAGAGGGGATGCTGGGCCAGGCCCTCTCCCACCATTGGCTCTCTGGACCCGGGGCACCTAGGATAAGCAGGGCACTGCTCTTTGTTGTCACCTCTTTGAGGTTGTCACCATCTCCCAGACTCTAAGCTTCATGGGGGACATCTGTCTTCCTCACCATCATTCTCCAGAGCCCAGGCTGTCTTGGTGTGGGTCCCAGGAAGCTGTCCTTCTGGGTGGACCCCAGTCCCTCTCCTGGCCAGGCACCCTTGTGCAGGACACAACCCGCAAAGCCCTGGCTGGGTTATTGTCTGTTGGATGGGACGTGGTCAGACAGCTGGCCTGTCTTTGCACCCACTGGGGGCTCAGTAATGATCCCAGGCTGGGGTTTCAATCCAGCATGAGGAGTATTCTGTTCTAGTCACTGGACACTCAGCTGTTGTGGAGAGGAGAGGGGCGAGCACGCGGCTCCTGCCATCCGGGGCCTCTACTGAGCCGACCCGAGATCAGTGTGGACCTTGGGAAGTGCTCCACGGAGGGCGGCAGGTCTGGACGCAGGGAGGGAGGCCTCTGCGCTGTCCTGAGCATCCCTCAATAACTGCCCGGGGTGTCTGGTTTTCAAGGTCTTCACTGTGTCCCACACGGCATCTATGCACTCCAGCGTTTGCGACATTTTACCTATGACTTAGATCGATGGATGGTGGGAAGTTAGGTGGGTAGACGGGTGGTTCTTTACAGCTACAAAATGGACCCGCTGCTGAGCAGGCTGCGCTGCTGTCCCACGTGGGCTACTGATTCCCACTCAGGGCAGACTCGCCCCCACTCCTACACGTCCTCCGTGAGCTTCCTCTAGGTATTTTCAACAATGTGGGGAACCCACTCATGCTATGATGCTGAGTGAAAAATAAGGTTTAAAACGATTTATTATAAAATGCAATTTAATATAAAATGTAATACGATAAGATGCTATAATATATGCTAACATATATTACTATATGTAATATATATACAATATACATTATCATGCTATATAAAGAGAGATGAGAAGAAAAAATTACTATGGAGGGGAGGTCAACAAAAGGTTCATATTCCTTTTCCCTGAGTGGGTTTGATTCATGATGCTTTTCTATATTTTCCAGATATTCTGCAATACCACATTTATAATAAAAACAATAATAATACCCTTTAACAAACGAGCACACTCCTGCCCATCCAGGGTGGTTTCGTGCTACCACCTGCCTCGGTTCCCCTCCGTGTTTCCTAGAGAGCTTCACTCCCCATGACGGGGACCCCCCGACGGCCTCTCCTCTACCGCTCTGTGCTCGCCTGGGGTGACCCCATCCACATCTCTGATCTCAGCCACCACCGCGGAAGGCTACCCCTCTCCATCCTTGTGCTAATTCCAGTTCCGTGTCTTCATCCAAGACTTTGCTCCTGACTCCAGGCAACCGCGACACGGATGGATCTTTCCAGGTGTCCCTCGGAGACTTCCAAGTCGTCCTGTCTGGAGCAACCTCTCCCCTCTGCTGCCCATCCCCAAAGGCCCCTCATATCTGGGAAGGGATGCTCAGCTGCAGACTCCCGAGTTTGGCAGAACTTTGGAAAAATCACTCTTACGCCCACTCCGTGTCAGCCCACACCGAGTCAGGTATCAAATCACCAATTCCTCCTCCTGAAGATGCCAGTCTCCCGAGGCGGTGGTTCGCTTTCGTGGCTTTCATCCAGGGCCTCATCATAGCACAGTTGGCGAGTCTTCAGCAGGGAGGGACGCAGTCGGATCAGCGTTGGTTTTGGAAGGATGTTCTGGCAGTGTGAGCTGGTGGGCAGGACAGGGCCGCGGCTGAGGCAACATCTCAGTTCTCCACCCCACACGTCCCCACTCCCGCCTGCCCCATTGCTCTGGGAATTATTTTAACTCGGCAGGCCTGGAGAAGGCATCTTCATGCTTCTCTCTCTCTTTCTTTTGAGGTGGGAGTTTCTCTTATATTTTACTTAGAAAAAGAGTAAAAAAAAAAAAACTTGAAAAAAATCCTTCTACAAGCTGCAAAATCTTACTTCATCCATCTCTCCCTAACACCCAACATTCTTTTTTCCAAAAAGGTGATAAACAATTCAGAACTCATTAGCATATGAGGATAATTCACACTTTTCTCATGCTGTGGATCTCGTCTTTCTTCAGTCTGTCACAGATTAGCTGGAAATTTCTGCTGGTTTTGCCTGAATAATACAGACAGACTTAAGGTTGTTTTTATTGGTTAGGAGAACTTGAGACTAGATTGTGTATAAAACCCATTACAAGGAGAATTTGTCACTGATTTTTATAGGGAGATAAAGGGCCTGAGTTTATGGGGTGCTAACCCCCTGGGGGTACTGATAGGTAAGCACACCTGTCCACCAGTGGCACAGGTCTACCTGGCATGGAGCCTCCATGCACAGATGGGAGATCCCCTGATTTCTGGTCCTCATGGAGAACAAGTCTTCCTGCTTTAAAAGAGTCCTCTTAAATACCCATTGGAAAGACAGTACCCATAGTAAAGGGGGCTTCTCCTATCCACGGGGGTGTCTGGTTGTTCCTGGGTTGAGTGGGGTGTGTGAGGAAAACCTTGAGATGAATGTGATTAAAACAAGAGCCAGAAATAGGGGATAAGTCCATCTCCTGGTTCCCCTGTCATATCCATTAACTAATTAGTGAAAATCGCTCTGCATCTCTGTTGTCCTCTGCTGTGTTCCCAGAATTCAGAGCACAGCATGGTAGGGAAAGGGGTTCAAAACGCTGTAATAAATGAATACAGTCAAGCCCATGGCAGGAAGCAGCAAAGGAGTTTGGGCTACTTTGAGGTTCTTTGAATGAACATACTTGTAATTTCCCAGCTCTTGTTCAGAGCCGATCAGCTGCCCAAGGCATCTTGTGCTCAGGGCACTGGAAAGCCCAGGGAGGGAATAAATACAACCAGTTTACAAAAGCATACTTTAACAGAACCACTTCAAGGACTGGGCTGTGTGGGAACGGGTGAGACTCCCTCCAAAGCACCTGCTGAAGCACCCCCAGATCATGGCTAAATCCTGTTTCCTGGGAGTGTGGGTTCTGCGTACACTGCACTTGCTTTTGCTGAGGGCAGCATGCAAGCCGGGCACTGCCAGCCTCCAAACAATGGAGAAGGGATGAATAACTCCCATTCAAACAGGACCCTTTAAGGGTTCACCTTAGCCTGCCCAAAGACACCTGCCCCAATTCCTTAGTCTGGCTGTGGCCACCAAGATCAAGACACATATCACGAGTGTGTGCACATACAAATATATGCGCATGAATTAAGGGCTTAAGCTGAATAGTAACAGTCTTCTAATCTGCAGAGCTTTCTGACTGTAGGTGAGAAAAAACAAAATCTTGCCAGGACTTTTGCATCAAAGAGAGAGATAAACTTGCTAATTGAAAAATGGTTTGCCTGGAGGAAAACGCGGAGATGCCAGCTATGTAAATTAGCATATGCCAGGATCTAAAAGAAATCATGCCAGGCCAGGAGGAAATAAGCAAATTAGAAGAATGAGGAAACAACCCTAGAAGCAAACTGAAAGCACTCTGGTGCTTTAGTTTATCTCAGGAGGGAGGTCGACGGATCAGTCCAGAGGTGAGGAGAGCCCGTGTTTGGAGAGTCCCAGGTGTGTCTGTGGTGTACCTGGGTGGGTGCATGCTCTCCTGTCCAGGTCAGGGTGGGCTTTTCATACAAGCTCTTAAAAGCATGCCTCATAATAGCTTCCTTCCGCTTTAGGCGGCAGGAAGGCCCTTCACCAAATGCTCCTAAGAAACACTGTGCTTGCGCTGTTGACTGTGGTGGGGTTTCTCCGGCGTAGCGACCTAAGCAGTTTATTAGCACGTGGAAGTCTCCAACCAGCTCTCGGCGACGAACAGCCCACAGCTGGGCGGGGTCTCAGAGCCCCGGCATCACAAGGAGATACCGCGCGGGACCGGGGTCTGCGGCAGGAGGGAGGTCAGCCGGGGCTCGCGCCGCCTGGCGGCGACTGCGTGTGACCCGCGCGGAACCAGGCTCTGCTGTGCGGACCGAGCGAGGGTTCTCGCAGGAGGGGTGGTCCTTGGCCTCAGGCAGCCCAGGTTGCACTGAAGAGGCCGCGTGCGGTGGGTAAAGGAGGAGTACAATTCTGGGCCCGGTAGAATCCAGGACCAGTTCACAGTGGGCAATCCCAGCGACAACCGTTTGTCCCGTACAGAGGCCCAGAGGCGACCCGCCTGGAGTGTGTGGCGCCTGAACTAGTAGGGCGTGGGGTAGGGGCCGCCGGGGCAGAGGACCCGCTGGGGTCTTAGGAAAGTGTTTGGCAGATTTTCCAGGGAGAGAAATCTACCTGTCCCCAGTGGCAATCCGTGCCCGCTGGGCGTCGGGGGCTACAGGCAGCATCCCCTGGGGACCCTCCGCCCTCGATCCAGGTTACGCCAGGCAGAGAGCGGCCCGCGCGCGATCCCCGTCAGCGCCCCCAGCACCGCCCGGCAGCTGGACGTGCCTGGCTCAGGCGCCGCCACTTTGGCCTCGCTGCTGCTGGTGGACCCCGTCTCCCGGCCTGGCCGGGTGCGCCTTCCCCGGCGTGCGCTCCGTCCGCGACAGCCGGCGGCCTCCAGCGGCCGAACCTGAGCTCCGGGCGCAATCCGCGGGAGACCCGCGCCTCCGCCTGCTCCCCGCCCCCACCCCCGCCGCCGCGGGGGTCCAGGGGTGAGTGCTGGCCGGAGCCCGGAACCAGGGGACGCTGCGAGCAGGGGCCGGGCCTGGGGGGCGGCGGCGGCGCGGGCGGCAGCGCTAGCGGAGGAGGAGGAGGAGGGGCTCCCGGCGCGGGGCAGGGGCGGAGCGTGCGGCCGCGCAGCGGAACCAAGTGAGTTCGCACCGGAGCCCGCGCCGCCGCCGGCCCGTGCCTCTGGCGCCCGCCGCCCCCGCCGCGCCCGCAGCCGCCGCCCGCGCGGGGATGTAGGATGCTGGTGGGCGCCGGGCTCCAGCGGCGGCGGCGGCAGCTGCAGCAGCCGCAGCAGCCTCGGCGGCGGCAGCCTCTCCTCTGGCCGATGAACGCAGACCCGCCGCCGCCGCCGCCCTGGGTTTGGATGGTCCCCGGCTCGGCCGGGCTGCTCCGGCTGGGAGCCGGGGTCGCGCCCCCGCCAGGGCTGCTTGCCTCGGCCCAGCCCTCTGCCGCCCCGCTGCTCCCGGGGCTGCCCGGCTGGCTGCCGTTGCTGCCGCTGCCCTCTGCGCCAGACCACGCCGCCGCCGCAGCTGTGCACCACTACTCCTTGCTCAACGGGCAGGTAATGTGTCCCCCGGCCCCCGGCCCCGGGTTCGGGGTCGCCGGCTTCCCCCCTGGCCCCTGGGCGCGGCCCTCGCCCCGCTCCGGCGGCTCCGGCCCTGTGGCTTGCGCTCTTTCCTCCCGCGGTGGTCCTCGGCTCCCCAGCCCATCACGGCGCAGCCTGGCAGCCATGCATCGGCAACAAAGTTCATGCTTCGACGTCTCGTTCTGCCTCTCGGCAGTTTTTGCAGTATGTCTTCCCGGTTTCTCAGACGAGCAGTTTGGAGACCCGCACCCCAAGCCCAGAGTTGGGACCGCCTTGGCCACAACTTTCGCCCGGGCCGGGGTCGTTGTCCAGAGCGCGGTGCTTAAGTATCGCCTCGTTGCAGCTGCCAACTGTGGCCGACTTACCGAATAGAAGTTAATACTTTTACAGTCTCTGACAGGCTTGGAAAGCAAGCTGGGAATCAATAGCTGTTTCTGATTCTGATCTAGTTTTTTTTTGTTTTTGTTTTTTTCATTTGAAAATAGACTCAGGACAATGCTTAAGAAAATTCAAACCAATGGAAGCCTGCAGGGAAATCCTGCCTTTAATACTGAGAAATGCTACCGGTGATTTCCACTCCCACCCTAGGTCTGCCTGAGTCGACCAAATTACCTAGTGTCATATTGCACTTTAGAAGAGTTTGGCGTTTAAAACCTGGAATTAAAAAGAGAAAGTGACTGTGCCTTTGATTAATGGTGTAACAGAGCAAGGGAAGCTGGTTTTGGCAAGATCCATTGTTTGCTATCTAACTAGGCAGATGCATTTAAATCAGAGAATAACATGTATTTTATTCCAATGACTGTCCTAATTAGCATATTCAAATGAGTGGATGTTAGAATACACCACATAATTAATTTAATTCCAATATTATATTGTGAGCTTTTCTAAAAGATGTTGTTAACTCTCCTAAACTGGTCTTTACATGTAATGATACATCACCTATGTGGTACTGGATATGGTATTTTGATGTGTGATGCAGTTCACGTTGGGGTTTTTTTTGAATAAGCGTTGGTAGCTTTTTTTGATATTTTGAAGGGGTTGTCATACGCGAGTGCTACCACTAGAGGTATGTGGTGTCAAGGAACTACATTTTATTTTTTTTCCGTATAGAAAATGCTTTTTTTTTCTTGTGTAAATTTAAAACGAAAAATCTCCCCCAAACTTAGTATTAATCTTTAAAATATTTTGTGCTACCATATTTTCTGTTAAATCACTGTTTAAACCAGAAGAACATTTTCACGTAACAGGAAATTCAAAAATGCTTTTATGATTTTAGAACAAATGCGTATTGAAGTATTCCGTACCATTGAACAATGATCTTATTCTCCACTGATAAGGATTCAGTTAATTTAATTAGAGAGACCGTCTCCTAAATTGTCTGCCCCCTTTCAACGTTTGCGATTTTATTCTGTGCATTGGGATCTTCAGTTATGTGATAAGCTCATTTATGTTTTCTTTGCCTTGGAATCTATTTGCATTTGCGAACCTTAGGAAACTTTGAATCCTGACCTCTTATTTTAAAAATATTACTTGTGCCTGTTTTAAAAATGATAAATATAATTAATATAAAATGATATATGGAAAAGAATGTCATAAATATAGCTCTCTGCTTGCTTATAAAAAGAATTCAAAAATTATAAAAGGAATACCCAGCATTTCACCTTTCCCTTGTGGTTTTTCATATTCCCAGGGCAGAAATCCATTTCTTACCATGTTCTCATGGTTTTGTGCTTAGAAGTTCTTTCTTAATATTACAGAAAGCAGTGTTGTAAATGCATTGTGATGATTCAGATATGAAAATTTTTACAGATTTTTAGAATTTTGAATGTTTGTGGGGGTTTTTTGGACTGGGAAAAAGGAGATTTTTCTCATAATCAAATACATGCATTTTAAAATTCCCTTTTAAAGCAGCTATCCCAGCATCTTTTGGTACAAAGGGGAGTTGATTGATGTAGGCTAATGAGCACACCCTTCTCTTTTCTTGGGTTTCAGTGGCTGTTTGGTGGTCATTCTCCATCGATTGGACTGTCCCCCTCTTCCACTGTGGAATTGGTGCCCATTTTCCCACATGTCTGCCCATCTTCTCTTCCACTTCCCATTGGGAAAAGTTGGATAGACAAAAGGATACCTAATTGTAAGGTAAAAATGCAGCTAGCCTGATTGGATAAATGGGCTGTTAATTTTTAAGTTGTTGGGTATTGCCGTAACAGAAATCACTGTGTATTTTTAGTTTCTAACTGCAATAGATCAACCATCTCGGTCTGGAGAGAAGTCTTTTCAGAATAAGATTGGTCTGTTCAAAAGCACCAGTAGATGGTGGTGGTGGGGGATTTTGTTTTAGCTTAAAATATTTGGTTTCCATAGGATAATATAAAATTCCTACTTCTGAATCAGAAGTACTACTTTTTGAATTTTTCAGTTTTTAAATCCATAACTATTGTTCAGAATCTAGCCTTAAACCTTATATAACTCAAGTGTACATTTTAAAAGTAAGTTTTCCTTGGTATTATTGCTTTGAGTGTTCATCCTTCTGATGGTTTTTCTTGGCTTTTGAATTCAGATATACTGGCTACACTTTGTTTACCTGAAAACCAATAGAAAGTAGTACAGTGACTTGTTCTACAACACACTGCTTGTCTCACTGGGGTTATATCTGTTAACTGGCTGCTGGGAGGAACTAACCAAGTCAATAGCTGAAGACCAGCCCAGGAGACTTAACTAGAAGGTGTTTGGTATCAGAGCCCTGTGGATCTTCAGGTTTTAAGATAGTGGCTTTATAGAATCTCCATGCATAGAATCTCCAATACTCAATGTAAGACAAGTATTTTACAGTCTTCAGCTTTTATTCTGTGCATGGTCTTAAGTGTTATGCTTGCTTTCTCTTTGGACAGATCTTTTTTAATAATTCCTTTGCTTTGGACTCAACATGGATATATCCTGAGGAATCAAGATTGTTCCATGGGCCTGAGAAGCCTCAACTGTTGGCAAATCAAGTAGCCGTGTCTCTGTCCAGGCCAGCTCCTGCCTCTAGGCCTCCTCCCACAGTGGTGTTAACACCTCAGCCTATCCCAGGTTGGTGCCCAGATAGCTGTAAAAATGTGTGGTTGTTTTTTTCTTTGTTTGCTTTTGCTGTAGCTACAAATTAGCTTTGGGTATGAAAACTATGTTTGTCACTTTAATGAAACAGTTCTTTCAGTAAAATATAATTTCTTTTTTCATGGGCATGATTCCTTTTCATAATGAAATTGAGTTTGGGGTAGATTATTCACTGTGTTTTTGGAGAATGGAATCTGTTTTAAGGCGAAGAGATGGCTGAGGGGATTTGTACAGAATCATATTTTTGGTGTTCTGTTTTTAGAATTGGACCAAATCTTCTGCTGATAGCTCTTAGTAGGAGCCCTAATTGATCAGGCAACTCATTTAAAAAATGTTCCTTATGTGGGGCGAGGTGCATAGCTCCCTGGTCCGCAGGACACGGGCACGTGTAAGACTTTTATACGTTTTGCCTTCACGAATATGGGGTGATATTGGCGATGGTCTATGAATGTGTGCTGTTTGGAAGATGGGTTTTGTTCTCTCTTTGGAGTCTAGTGACCTAAAAGAGCAGTTGTCCTGCAACAGACTCCCATGAAATAATCCCTGGTTGAAAGATGGTATAATAAACCTATATAGCAACAAGAGAATAAAATCATCTTATGAATTGTTTAATTGATTTTTAAAATCGCCTTAACATATGATCATATTAGAAAAGATGTTGCTCATGCGCAAATTATCTTGCAACACCTTCCATTACGGAATATTTTATGACTTCAGAATTATATTATCTTCCTTGTAATTTCCTGCCTACCAAGATTGTCCCAATATGTAGCACTAAAATTTAGTAATAAGGACATGTATCTGTGGATAGTTCAGTGCTGGTTTAGGAGACATATTTATTTTCTTCTCTCTCTTTCTACCTTATGTATTATAATTTGTTATGTGTCCTGTTTAGTAATAAGTCAGGAAGAACACTCAAGTCTTTGTGTTTTTTCATACACCTTAATGATTCTTGACTGAAACTTGCCTTCTGTCCTTGTAATCGTCTATTACTGAGTTGTTAAAATCTGAATAAGCGTCATACATACATACACTTATAAACATTTTACACGAAGATGATCACATATCCTTTTTAATTGAACGATGACAAAGGATGATCAGATAGCATGTAATATATGGTATTCCAGGGCTTTAGACGTCTTTTTCGGTATATGAAAGGATAATGTTTTACTTTCCTAATGCACTGGCAATGCTGTCACCAAAATAATCAGCACATTTAGTTTAAAAAACAGTGAAATTAGTTTAACTGTTCCAACAAAAACTTTGAGTGACCTTTCCTCCTGTCCGCTCACTCTTGAATAGCACGTAGACATTTGCATTATACCTCTGTCCTCTTAGAAAACTCATACTGTGAACACGCTAGCTACCAATTTTGTCGAAGAAGCTTATGGCAGGTTATCATAGCCATTGTATCATATGGACATTTTGACCTGCCGTTGTGTGGCACCTGTTTCATACTTAAAGCATATTCATGTTAATTTTACCTTTTGACTTTTTTGGGGTTTTTTTTGCGGTACACGGGCCTCTCACTGCTGTGGCCTCTCCCGTTGTGGAGCACAGGCTCCGGACGCGCAGGCTCAGCGGCCATGGCTCACGGGCCCAGCCGCTCCGTGGCACGTGGGATCTTCCCGGACCGGGGCACGAACCCGCGTCCCCTGCATCGGCAGGCGGACTCTCAACCACTGCGCCACCAGGGAAGCCCCACCTTTTGACTTTTTGACTAAGCCTTTTTAAAGGACAAAATAAAACAATATTTCTTACTAACATGGTCGATCAGAGAATAACTGTCCGCCCCATCTAACATTTATCAAATTTCTTTTATTCTTCCTTGGATTTTTTTTTTTTTTGGACTCATGAACCATAAGAATACAACATGCTTTACTTATCTTTTGGAGAATAATGTATCTGTGCCCAGAGGTATTTTACTAACAGTTGTATATGCATTTGTTCTGAGATGGCGTTTCTGAACTGCTTCATGAAAATTTTGATTTTTTGATACATTTCAGATTCTTAGAAATTACTATTCTAGAAACATGTATTAAGTGACTGTTAGTCCAAAGAACACATTTAGGGTGTTGTTTATATGTTTGTTGTTTATATGTTACTAACTGTTTAACCGAGAACCTGGAAGGGGGAGCAAGTAAAGGTGGAAGGTAGGGTAGCTCCCAGTCAGTTAAAAGTTAAGGTACATTGTTTCAATTTTAATGTAATTAATGAGAAAATATAGCCTCATTAAAACATTTTACATGTAAATTTTCAGATATGTTGTTAAAAGTTATTGTTATAATTGCTATTAAGTCTTATATCTTGCTATATATTGATAAATTGAAATATTATATTGGTTTACATTATATAAAGTTATGCATTTATAAATATAAATATCTATATACACTATATTAATCTATAATGTATGAATATATTATATGATTGATATTTTAAGTTGATCCATTTGTAAATTGTTATATTCAGAAGCAGATGGCCTTAGAATCTTAGATATATTTTATTGATCCCCTTTCAGTTAATCAGTGAAGCATTATTAGAACTCCAGGAGAACCAGGAGAGTGAGTCAGACTCACCTCGTTTTATTTTTTAATTTAATTGAGTATTTTTTTTAGAGTTTTTTAACATCTTTATTGGAATAGAAGTGCTTTACAATGTCGTGTTAATTGCTGTTGTATAACAAAGTGAGTCAGCTATATGCATATGTATATCCCCATATCCCCTCCCTCTTGCGTCTCCCTCCCACCCTCCCTATCCCACCCCTCTAGGTGGTCACAGAGCACCGAGCTGATCTCCCTGTGCTATGTGGCTGCTTCCCACTAGCTATCTATTTTACATTTGGTAGTGTGTATATGTCCATGCCACTCTCTCACTTCGTCCCAGCTTACCCTTCCCCCTTCCCTTGTCCTCAAGTCCATTCTCTACGTCTGCATCTTTATTCCTATCCTGCCCCTAGGTTCATGAGAACCATTTTTGTTTTTTTTAGATTCCATATATATGTGTTAGCATATGGTATTTGTTTTTCTCTTTCTGACTTACTTCACTCTGTATGACAGACTCTAGGTCCATCCACCTCACTACAAATAACTCAATTTCATCTCTTTTTATGGCTGAGTAATATTCCATTGTATATATGTGCCACATCTTCTTTATCCCTTCATCTGTCGATGGACACTTAGTTTGCTTCCATGTCCTGGCTATTGTAAATAGAGCTGCAGTGAACATTTTGGTACATGACTCTTTTTGAATTATGGTTTTTTCAGGGTATACGCCCAGTAGTGGGATTGCTGGGTCGTATGGTAGTTCTATTTTTAGTTTTTTAAGGAACCTCCATACTGTTCTGCATAGTGGCTGTATCAATTTACATTCCCACCGACAGTGCAAGAGGGTTCCCTTTTCTCCACACCCTCTCCAGCATTTACTGTTTGTAGATTTTTTGATGATGGCCATTCTGACAGACTCGCCTCATTTTAAACAGGCTCATCACATTTTCCTTTCTTGGATAGATAGTACATTTGTGTGATAATCATTCTTGACAATGGCATTATGTAGCATGAGCTCCAATGATGTGACACTAGAAAGTGGTTTTGTTTCAGTAAGCATGTGGTCTGTTGAACTGAGTTAGAAGGTGTGATGGGCAGAGACGTCGGGTGGGTGACCTCTGAGGCTCATGTTAATATTGCTCCCCTCCTGATCTATGGTTGGTTAAGAAGTAACTGCACTGCAGCAGTGTCTCATATAATATTAGCACAACTTGAACAAATTTGGGTAAGTCATCTAAAATTTAATAAATGTTTTGAAGGACTTTATTTTTGATATATACTAGACTCACTTATGTTAACGATAGAGATAATGATTTGCTGTTATACTGAGACCTGAAGAAAGCCTGTTGGCCACTTAGAAGCGTGAAGGTCAGTCGTGTTCCCACCTGCATTCATCAGAGGAGCTCCTGCAGGCGGTGCAGACATGGGCTCTGCTAGGCGCCCTTGCAGCTCATGTTCTCCTGGGGAAGTGCACTCTGTAGATCATTACCCAGCACTGCCTTCCTAGGGGCTCTCTGCAGACGTCCGAGGAGGGTCTCGGGAGGGTCATCAGGGAAGGTCTCCAGGGGATGATGTACCTGAAACACACCACAAAGATCAGCAGAACCTGACCAGGGCAGGAGGGGGAATGGAGGAGTAGAACATGTAAAGTCACAAACTCACGACAGATGTTTCGTCAGGTGATGACAAGCAGTCAAGCAGCCTAAACCAAGGAGGAGAGTGGTGGTGGGATGCGGCAGTGGTGGTGGGATGCGGCAGTGGTGGTGGGATGCGGCAGTGGTGGCCCAGCTCAGGGCCACTTCGTGCAAGATGAATCCCATCATCCCACGGGACCTGTGTAGTAAGTCCTGGGCGCTCTCCAGAGTATCCTGGGATGTTGCATCATTCTTCAGCTTGGGAGCCATGGTTTCTTCAGGAAAGTGTAAATTTGTCCTCAGGAAGCAGAGCAGACAAAGAAAGGGCCGAGTCTTCTCACCGAAAAGTAAATGCAAGCGTCCAAAAATATGCAAAGTTACAACTGTACTGGAAACTAAAGTCTCCAGTGAATAACTTAGTGGCTTTTTAAGGAATTATCCCTAATTACAGTGTGAATGGGTTGAACTGAGAAATAAGCTGGGACTCATTCATTCCCAGTCCTCAGAGGTTGATGCAGGAAAGGCGAGGACGCATGAGGACACAGGCACCCCCTCCTCTTCAGGAGTCTCTGCACTTAGGATGAGACCCCATCACTTTGTCTCCAATCTCAACATCTCCCTTCTCCCATGCAGTGCTAAGTCCCTCTTCATCCCAGGGAGAACTGGGCTTGCATTGCTTCTAAGGATATGAGGTTTCTCACAAGTAGAGGTGGGAGTAGGGCCAGCGTGGAAATCGTGCTTTCCAAAGCATCCCTGTGCTTCACTTCTAAAAATAAGAACTTCAGAGTCCTTCAATCTA